TAGTGTACGACTTCCCAACATTGTGCCCCCCAAGACAAGGATTCTTTTATCACCGAATCTGTAGATTTCTTTTACGTAGGAGGGATGATCGTGATCTCTACATTCTTTCCAGATGCAGATTTGATGGGAAATCATTCTATTAGGGCAATCTGGACTTATCACTAAATAGAACACACCCGATTTATGTTGTAGCCAAGACTGATGTGTCAACTCTTTTGAAATGTGACAAATTTTGCAAAAGATAAGAGTTGGTGTCACTGAAGAAGGGGGTAGAATTTTCTTCGCAATCCAGGCCGACATTCTTTTCAAATGCAGTGAGAAGGACAAACAGGACTGGGCGTATAAGCTACTCTCTACAGGACATTGTTTTCTAGAAATTCTTATTCCAGACGACGCAGCAATATCAAGCTGAAGAGCTTATGGCGGCTTTGATCCATCTTCTTGGTTATAGTACAACTGATTTTAAATTGATTACACAACCAGGATACCCCTTTCGGTGGTACTTGTAACTACAGAGTCCGCTTGAGACTGGCCGATTAGGAGAACTCACTGCAAAGAGGATAACATGTTCGTTTCAATGCACTTGTAGGGTATCTACCACTACAAAATTACAATAACAATTCACTAGTATATAAGACGATTAACTCGATTCTATGATGGGGTACCTTTTCATAGATGAAGGTTCACATGGTCAATAACTACTGATCCCCACATTGGTGACCCGGGCGTGATGTGAACAAGCCTACCTCGGCAATAACGCCCACTTCGATATGAACACGACTATCTTGACAGTAAAGCCCACTTCAATTTGTAACGCCTACTTCGATGGATGGTCCACATTGAACAGTTGACTTGCTACTTGCAACTGAGACATTATCCACCTTCTCGCACTGTTGCTACTCAGTCTCGTCTCGATCACGCACAACGTCGGCTTGCAGACACTCGACTGCTAACGACAACACAAGAGCGACTACGATCGTGAAGTTAATACACCTCTCACATTCAGCACTCAAAAAGCACGGTGATCTTAATACAGCTCTCCCGGCTTCTCACAAAACAGCAATGAATCAACTAGTGGTATCCGTTCATCGAATTCTATCACAGATATAATTCTGGTGGGGGAGTACTGTAGGGTATCTACCACTACAGTACTCCCCCACACTAATCACAAATCTGGAGGATAAAATCTGAGATGATTTAACGTTCCAATTCCAGAATCGCTGGAAAAACATACGGTAAACAACTTTCCTTTTAAACCGAATGTTGATACTGCATTATCGGTTCTTGAAACTACATAAACTATTAATTCAATCAATTTTAGTGGAAGATATTTATAACTGTTTTGAAAAACATGTTCGTGACATTGTTACTCTGTATATTCTGGAATTACTTTCTACTTTCCTTTAACAAGCATGTTAAAATTGGTATAAAACGTATGATTTATTTACATATTTACAGCTGCAAGGTTGATTGTGAGCCTAGATGAACATTCTAAAATTGTTTCCTATTTTCATTTTATGAACGTGATAAAATTGATATTAAATAGGATGAAATATTTATTCACAGTCTTAAGTTTTGAATTTAAGACTAAGTACTCATTCAAAAATTAGTTACTACTTTTATTTTATGATCTCTTTAAATTGATGTATTATTTACGTATTTACCTATTAAATGCGGATGATTTCTTTACATATTTACCGTAGCAAGATTAACTTTAAGGCTATTTAAACATTCTGGAATTGCTTTCTACTTCCCTTTTATGAAAGTGTTTGGTATTAATACAGATGAAATAAATTAATTACGACTTAAAGATTGATTTTAGGCAAAATATATAATCTGGACTTTTAGGCAAAATATATAATTTCTACTTTCTATTATTGAATTTTTTATAATTAATATTAATTGGTTTGGTTTATTTATTTCCAACTTAAAGTTTAAATATACATTCCGGAAAGGTTTTCACCTTTCATTTTATGAAAGCGTGAGGAAGTTGATATTAATACGGATGAAATACTTATTTACAGTTTCAGGGTTGACTTTACAGCCAGATACACATTCTGGAATTGCTTTCTTCGAGGTTTTATTCTCGGATTCGGAAATTATGGAACAAGTCAACTAGAAGTGCAAAGAATTCTGAGCATCAAAAAAAGTAGCCGAGCTGCAAGGTTTGTAACTGAGAAATAATTCAAGTGGGCTTGGTATTCAATTTTTTTAATTCTTTAATAATGCAATAAATTCTCTCCCCAAATGTGCATAAATATTTTTATCTCAAATAAGATTTGCGTTAGTTTTCTCTTCACATTAAATATTCCGAGGTATTCTAATGTATTGAAATATTCTAAAACATTGAAACTTTAGATGCTTTTTTCCTGAAAGATTATTTTCTCATGTTTAAAAAGATAAACCGACTTTGAAACGATTTATCTGGAAACTTCGATATACTCTTGGAAATTTAAAAAAAATTGTATTCTATTTTTCATTAGAATTCCACTTTTTAAACTTAAGGATTTAATTGTTATTATGATTTTAAATATATCATTAATGGAGATTTAAACTATCAGGAAAGTCTAAATAATCTATGTCTATTTAATAATTATCTTTGTAATGAAAAAGTTTCTTTTATTCAAAGCGACGGCATACAATATAAAAGAATAATCTAAAGAGGATTCATCTATTGGACAAATAATAAAGTGTTTAATAGTGTTGGGTATAAGGTTGTTTCTGGTATTTTGCTACCAACCGCAGAAAAGGTTCCTGTACCCTGTACTGACCTTAGAGGAGCTGACAGCATGTAATCTCCTCCCCCCCCCCTTGATGAAGCTACCATATTGTCAGTGCTTTCCGTTTCCATTTTCATTCTTTATTTTGTAAATACTTTCTATTTTGCAGTGGTTTTTCTATTAGTCAAATGGTTCCTGTTTTTCTACGGTTAATTGGATTTATGTCAGTTAATTCTTGTTAATAATTTGCAATTTTTGCTTGTAAATTGATAATTTGTTAATTTGTATATTTTTTTCAAATATTCCTTCAAGTTTTATCAGCTTTACGTTGTTGTGGCTTGGAATTATGTGAGTTTTATTTTGTATACTTCTTCTTTTGTATACTTTTGTATACGTATCATTCACATACAAGTGTTCTGGTGAGTATCTTCAACAAAATACAGTGGTTTTCCTAATTTATTGCTGTAGAAGAAAGATTTTCTTGAAAAAAGATACAGTCATAGCCATACATTTCACGGTAACTTAAAACGGTGAAAAAAGTTTGGTCTTAAGAAAAACACAAACTAATGAATCAGGCTGCTCCATTTCTGGCATAATATAATAACTGATGTTTAAAACTCTAGCCATGGGAGATCAGGGGATAGAGCCCTTGCCTCCCAATGAGGTGAACCGGGTTCGAATCCCAGCAATGGCTGTTCTTTACGAATTCCGTACTCGACTCTCGCTGACAACAGTACTGCAGTACTGACCTAAAATATCCTCAGTGGTAGGTGGACAAGCCATGGGTGTTTTTCGAGGTTTCCCACCCCATGTGACGCAGATGCAGTTTAATTCCGTTAAAAAAGTTTTACACGAATGCTAGTTTGTCTTATTGTTCGGAAGTGTCCTCGTCTTCTGGGTAAGGTTCAAAATTACATTGATTTAAAACTGTTTTATGGTCGGTTATGGTTTTATGGTTCTTTATCTCCTGGACGATGTTACGACTGCTAGCATTCCGGACAACTTCGATCATTTCTGTGATTTTATCGATATTTTCGATGACTGGCTTACCTGTGCGAGGTGCATCTTTAGCATCAAAAATACCTGAACGGAATCGATGAAGCCAAAATTGCACGTAATTGGCTGTTACAGTATAGGAATCATAAACATCATTCACAATTTCAGCCACCTGGCTTGCGTTTTCGTATTTATCAAAGAAAAACTGTAAAATGTAGCGCAATTTCTCTTTTTTGACTTCAATTTTTAACACCTTGTAACTCACAACTGAATGAACTAAACAAAAAAACAGCAAAATAACTTTTTAGTCAGGAATGTCATCTTTACAACGATCATGAATCTGAAATTGTTTGATCAATACTTTACGAGATATCGATCACTGTAGCTATCGATCAAAAAAAAATAATGGATTTCTCCCTCTGTGGATTCTACCTAATATATAGATTCTACCTAATATAAAGAATCTTTTCCAAAAATAAAGTCAAAAGTTATCGCGTTGGTGGTCAAAAATGAACAAGAACATTACCGAATCACTAAGTCAGAAAAGTGGAGGGATAAAAAAGAAAACATCAATTATTTAATTTGATTGCTCGGTAAGGTGAAATATTCTCTTATTAGTTGCCCTTTAATTCCTCTCTGTTCAAATTAAGATAATTTCATTTGCACGTTCCTCAGCAGTGATTCGTTAGATTTTGTTAGCATTTTTGCTTTTTCTTGACTTAAATATTAACTTTAAACCTTAGTGTACATTCTTTTTGACAAAAAAAAGCGGAAAAAAAGAAAGGGAAAAAAACAAAAACACGTTAAGTAAGGTTTGCCAGCTGCTTCTTAACGCACATTTTTGTGTGCTATAAAGAATGTCTTTGAAAAAATAGACTTAATTAAATCAACATCTTTTAATGAACTGGGGATACAGTTAAGGTGATAAGAGTATTTCGAGTGCAAAAGATTACTTAAATTAGATTGCTAGAATAGATTAATAATTAGATAAAATATAATACATAAAATAGATAGAAATAGATTAAGATTGCTAAAGAACTTAATTTTTTGTTCAAAAATTGTTTGCAAAATGCGTAAATCTTTTGCATGTCAATGATTTTTGTTTTGGAAATTTTAATTCTTTTTTTTTTCTGTAGTACTAGTTATTTTAATTATTTCCGTTTTAAAATTAACACTAAAAGAAGGAAAACATCAAAAATATAAGCAGCTTGCGACTGCATTTAGAAAAAAAATTATCCACTCAAGCAACAATATATATATATTTGTAATTTTTCTTTCTTTTAGGGAGGCTTAAAAGCTGTTATATGGACCGATGCTTTTCAAGCAGTCTTGATGTTTACTTGCATGATTGTCTTCTACACAGTAAGCATAAGCGATGCGGGAGGGATTTCCAAAATTTACGAACGAGCATATGAAGGAAACAGATTGGAGTTACTTAAGTGAGAGAAGATTTACTTATTGAACTAAAAATTGTAGGATTTATTAGATACTATAATGGTCAAATTTTATTGATTATTGTCTAAAAATCCCAGGAACTACCTATGTCTTAGCGTTAGTTAGCTAGGGGCACCACCGATTGCCAAAATCCCTTACTCTTTTTTTTCTTTTTTCTTTTCTTTTTTTTAAAAAAGGAAAAAAAAACGATAAAATCAACGATGCTATTAACATGAAAACAATAACCAGAGCAATATAGAAATAACGAACTATCTCGTTTTTAAAGGAAACGTCTGAATTGTAGTTCTACAATGGACTATGTAATAGTTTTAACAAATTTATAATTTTATAAGTATCGTAAAAGCAGTATCGAAAGTATCGTAAGAAATTATTAAAATCCGTTTAAGTACAATTGATTTATCCATGACGCAATGTCATGTTGATCTTAGTTCAACTAGAACTTTTTCATTTTAGTTATTGAGAAATACTCAATATCACTCAAAAAAATTATGCTGCATATCACTTAAAAAAATGTGAAGATGGTAATAAAAATCGATATATTTCGAGAGCTCAAAAATATAAGGCCATTCTCAAAACTTATCTGGTGGGAATGAGGAAAATAAAAGTAATTTGAAACAGAAACATCATCACATTCCGCACGCCAGGTCTGCTAAATTAAATGACATAATATTATAAGTTTATTTACATTTTACGTTGTGTGTGATATGAAGTAATTTTATTCATAAAATTAATTTTATTCTTAAATTTATACCTTCTATATTAGATCCTTAAATTTAGTAGAATCAAGTTTTTGAAGGACTAAGATAATGTCCCCAATATCTGGTAAGAATATTTTTGAGATATACAGATAGTACATACAATTGATATCTGGAGGAAGTCCCTTAAATATCAATGTTATGGACTGGATATCACATGGATATCTGTGATAAGTACCGTACATCTGTCAGATGTCTTTGAGATATAAAGTCTTTTCTTTTCTTTTTTTAACGGCGCACAGTGGGACAAAATCAGAAA